GAGTTTGCAACAGTTCAAAGGGATCTCATGGTTAACGTCCCAGACATTGCGTTTTGGCACGATATCGGAATGCCAGGGCGCAACAATCACGTCGATTCTCGGTGTTGAAGCCGCAGAAGTCGTGTTCGGGCACGATTCAGGATCGTCAAGACGCAACAGTAACAGTGATTCGCGGCGTCGATGTCCCAAAAATGGTGTTCTGGCACACTTACAGATACTCAAACGGTTGTTTTCCAACGGGGCATTTCCCTCAGTGAAATAGAATCCGTGCAGGAGCCTATGAAGAGGGAGCTTGGCGGAAGGGTGTATTGCAATATCGTCGATGAGTCTTGGGTTTACACTGTTCCCCATCCTCCTCCTGCTCCTCCACCTACTATTCTATCTGCTTCACCTCCACCTCCTCTTCCTCCTCCTCCTCCTCCTCCTCCTCCTCTTCCTCTTCCTCCGCTTCCTCCTCCACCTCCTCCTGCTCCTCCCCCCCTCCTCATCCCTCCTCGCCTCCTCCTCCCTCTCCTCCTCTTTCCTCCTCCTCCACCTCCTCCTCATTATTTATCATCATAAGCAGCAGCATCATCAATCATTCCTAATCATCATCATCATCAGCATCTCATCTCATCATTCATCATCATCATCATCATCATCAAATAATCATAAGATCATCAGAATCATCATCATCATTCTCATCATCATCATCGTGTCGTCTCATCATCATCATCATCATCATATCATCATCAGCATCAACATCATCATCATCATCATTCAGCATCATAATACGCATCTCATCAAGCATTCAGCATCAGCATCAGCATCAGGCATCATCATCATCATCAGCAGCATCAGCATCATCATCATCATCATCATCATCATCATCATCATCATCATCATCATCTGCCTCCTCCTACTCTGCGATCGCCCCGAAATAGAAATTAGCCTGGCGAAACACCCAACCATATGCAGTTGTGAGTACCGCAATTGTGAATATCTTCTTCGGTGGCGCTACTTATGGGGCTACGAAACGCTGGACTGGGTGGGTGAAACGCAACGAACAAGGGCCGTGTTGGGTGGTGGCGGGCGCATGCGGGCGGTGCCACTGGGACCTTCCGTGGAGCCCCATTTATGGGGCCACGAAACGCTGTACTGGGCGGGTGAAGCGCAGGGAGCAGGGGCTGTGCTGGGTGGTGGCGGACGCATGCGGGCGGTGCCACTGGGACCTTCGGTGGAGCCCCCTTTATGGGGCTACGAAACGCTGTACTAGGTGGGCGAAACGCAGGGAGCAAGGGCTGTGTTGCATGGTGGCGGACGCATGCGGGCGGTGCCAGTGGGACCGCCGGTGGAATTCCTCATGTGGGGCCCCGAAACGCTGTACTGGGTAGGCGAAACGAAGGGGGCAATGGCTGTACTGGGTGGTGGCGGACGCATGCGGGCGGTGCCACTGGGACTTTCGGTGGTGTTCCCTATGGGATTACGAAACGCTGTACTGGGTGGGTGAAGCGCAAGGAGCAAAGGCTGTCTTGGGTGGTGGCGGACGCATGCGGGCGGTGCCACTGGGACCTTCGGTGGAGCGCCCTATGGGGTTACGAAACGCTGTAATGGGTGGGTGAAACGCAGGGAGCAAGGGCTGTGCTGGGTGGTGGCGGACGCATGCGGGCGGTGCCACTGGGACTTTCCGTGTAGCTCCCTTTGGGCCATGAAACGCTGTACGCAGGGAGCAAGGGCTGTGCTGGGTGGTGGCGGACGCATGCGGGCGGTGCCACTGAAACCTTCCGTGGAGCCTCCATATGGGGCCACGAAACGCTGTACTGGGTGGGTGAAACGCAGGGAGCAAGGGTTGGGCTGGGTGGTGGCGGACGCATGCGGGCGGTGAGAATGGGACCTTCGGTGCAGCCCCCCATGGGGCCACGAAGCGCTGTACTGGGTGGGCGAAACGCAGGGAGCAAGGGCTGTGCTGCGTGGTGGCGGACGCATGCGGGCGGTGCCACTGGGGGTTTCGGTGGAGCTCCGTATGGGGCCACGGAACGCTGTACTGGGTGGGCGAAACGCATGGAAGAGGGAGGACGGGGGGGAGCGGAGGAGAGGAGAGGAACGCGGGGACCGTCTTTTCAATACGAGGACCCAACACCACAGGATGTTTGGGAGAGAAGGAAAAAACAAAAAATTAGCCTGACGAAGGACCCAACCATATCCAAGTGTGAGCACCACAATTGTGATTCATTTTTTCGGTGGTGATCCCTATGAGGCAAAGAACCGTGCTAGGGGTGTGCCGAAATGAGTGGCGTCGTACACAACGCGAACGAAAACGATTGATCTGACTACGTAGGGAGACTGAGCGCGGGCGAATATGAGCGCGAGTGCGTCTGACTGTGAACGAATCTGCGTGCCAGCGAATCTATGTGCATGAATTCGAGTATGACAAAGCATGGTGTACTTGTATATGAATGTCAACAGTTTGAGAGTGACTGCCCCTAAGTACTCGTGACGCTGGGCGTGGCCGCCGCAAGGA